AATCAATCGATCAACCATTGGATGGTCTTTGGTCAATGCTTGGTAATAATAATAATAATAATAATAATAATAATAATAATAATAAAACAAAATCAAAAGAAAGCAAACAATTGAAATTACTGCCACCATTTTGTTGCCACGATGACGTTGGGGGAAGGGGAGGGGGGGGGGGACCCTGGCCCCCTTGGCCCCCTGCCTACCCCCTTTAAAGCTATCACATTTCAGACCACATGTCATCCTCTAGAGTGCCGAATCCATCTCATTTTTAATTCACACCACATGTCTTTTTGTGTGTAGCCTAGAAATAGACCTTTTTACCTTGAGCGCAATGTTTTCTTATCACAGACCACGTGTCCTCGAGAACTCTACTTTACCTTGTGTCGCCATACGTCGACCATATTGTGATTCCACAGTATTTTGTATCACACATCACCCTTTCGAACCCTACTTTGCTTCGCATCTCTAGCATTGTAGCCTACTGTATAGCTCTACTCTACCCATACATGGCCTCTTATAGCTTYATAGCYTTATCAGCCTTGTTACACCATGCATCACCCATTATGACTGTTCATTATTTTGTCTAACCATTCCTCTGCTTCACCATATCCCTGCCTCATACTCTCTAACACAGTTTTATCGATGTTTTTCTCCTCTTACAGTCAGAGCTGAAGGGATGTTCCCCGTTGATGATCCTCGCCTCGCACAAGCCCTTGAAATGGAGAACGTCATGTTGGAGAAAAGAATCAATACCTGTAAATCAAAGCTAATGATGGTCACCTCGTTTGATGTCATTGTCACCGAAGTTTAAATCATGCATGTGTGGTGAAGACCAAGCTAAATGTGATGGGAAAATGAACGAAGAGGTAGCTGGGAAAATAATGGAAAAATTGAACATGTCCTATAAATCGTCAATGTTACTCACCTTCGATTATGGAATAAGAAGTGTAAAATATCAATGTATATAATGGTGAAATGATGAAGATGGTCAATAATGATGTTACTCACCTTTGAGTATGGAATAGGAAGTGTAAAATATCAATATATATAATGGTGAAATGATGAACATGGTCAATGATGGTACTCACTCACATATAATGATCAAATAATAAAGATGGTCAATATTACCGTACCGCAAGTATCGCAAGTACATGGAACATATGGCAGAGGGTGCATGAGAGTACGATATTAGAATAAATAGCGCCCAAAATCACAGTCTTTGAGATAATTACAAGCGCTGGATTCAGTCGAAGTGTGCAATATGAAAGAAATAGATTAGTGGTACTTTCTTCGGAATATTTCTTTCTCTACCGTCGCTCGTGCTCGTTAGCGGCAAAAACGACAAAGTGTGCTGTATTTTGATTACTCCATTAGTCACGTGCCGAGTTGTCGGTGATGTCGGACATCATCGAAAGAATGTACCTGGAATAAACTCATGTCAAAATACAGTAAAGTTGTCAAAGTCTCTGCTTGGAGTCTACCATAATCAACAGAAACACTTAAATCAGTTTTTTTTAATTCAATGTCTCACTATAAACGTTTTTCTGGATCGATAACAACGATGCTTAAAATGTGTCGCAATTCTAARCTTTTTATTAACGGTCCTATTTATTTTCGTACAGGAATTTCAGTGATAGTTATTTTATATTAGTAATGTCGATAATCTAATCTAAGATCTTTGAAACGCCACATAAATGGTCACTGACTTTCATCCAATTTAAGGCCA